TGCATGGTTGAAAGTTCAGTGACTAAATAGACAATTCACTCGCTAATTACTCATTCAGATAATAGTGTTAATGTATAAAATACCATTACAAATTTTCTTCCATCTTTAACAATAATGCACATACCTAAAATATCATTTTAACATTTCTAACTTAGTCAAAGACAAGATATTGTTTTTATTGTCGATTCTTCAAAAATATATCAACACATATTAAAAGTAAGCATTTGTAGTGTTCATTTATACTTCACTTGACCGGTCTGATTTAACTACTACATTTTTTATTTTATTTTTTGTCAACTCTCTGTTAAAGAAAAATGATAGAAGTTAGTTATAGAGGGAATATAATCATATTGTTTGTCACCTGAAAAGAAGAAAGCATTTATCTCACACCTATCAAATTTTGAGTACTAATGTAAGATGATATCACAACTATAATCCCTTAAAAAGAGTATTTCAAGTGTTACATTATTGTTAATTGAAACAAAAAATGGAAGATTTTAAGTATTATCATTATTATTTATATTAACATGTTAAAGAAAGGGGTTAATAAAGGTATCTTGCAACTCCCCGAATTTAGGGCCTGTTTGTTTTTTATTCTCAAATTCTATAGTAAATCAATTCTCATTTTCAACCACATATTTTTCATTAAAATAATATTTTTCATCACATCAATAACTTTTCCTTCTTTTTCAATTACACATTTTCCATCAATCTACTATTTCAAAATACATTCTTCCAAAATAATGTGGCTNAATTCTTCCCTCAAAAATCCCTACCGAACAAGCCCTTAATGATTCTTATGATTTTTACGACCAAAATATTTGACACAGTAAAAGAATACTATGCCCCTATTTGATAGGGATTAAATATTAAATTTTTAGTAGATTTTGATAAAAAATGATAAAATGTATAGCAGAAAGATCAAAATTTCCATCCATATTAATATAGCCACAAGGACTCTCCAATTGTTAAACTGAATTTTGTTACTAAGGGCAAATCTTTCAATTGAGTAGGTTTCACTGATTCAAGAGTATTAAGATATGTTTCTAGATTACTTTCTTGGTTTACCACCTTATAGGAAATTGTAACACTAACAAGACCTAGGATTGTCATCTATTTATTTAAAAATCATAATTTTTGTTCAACTATAAAGTCTATTATAAACAAATAATGATTGTCAACTTGGATTGTCATCTTTGTTCATTGATGCTGAAGATAAAAAATAAGGGTTCAGTCGCTTAGATTAAATTGGGGGTTGAGCTTTTTTATAGGTTCGTCCCCTGTTGTGAAATTTGGGGTCAACCATAAAATTATTAATAGAAAAAAAAAAAAAGGAGAGAACATTTAAAATACACCCCCACCCCCCCACCCCACCAAATTTCAAATATTGTTCAACTTAAAACATGCACAACTTTTGATCCACAACTCCAAATAGTACTCTTGTTTGTATGGAAATCTAAATTCAATTATCTTTCTAATGATAAATTATGTTCAATTAATGTCACGTCCAGTTATTGACATTTATCGTCGTTTCTTATTTCATCCATTCTAATAATGTTACACATCCAAGAGATGTGCTTGGTGAACACGAGAAAGTTGTACAAGACTTTTGTAAAGGGATGTGTCATTTTCTCATTGGGAGTTGGCAAGAAAATAGAAAAATGCAATCATATAAGTGCTGACAGTACAACACCTATACTCCCCATGTACAGTTTTTCTCTGTACAACGGGAATAACTCCACATCCAATTAACTTCTTCAGCCTTATTCCATTTATATTTTATCAACATTTCAGCTAGGGTTAGATATTCTAATAACTAGATTGTAGAATTTGCCATTTAATTTTATCTTCTAACTAATAAGAATCCATTTAACATTTGCCCATTTCATCCAACATCCTCTAATCATAAGCATTATATTCTTGTCAAATCACCCTTCCATAGTAATAATTAAATCTATCTACTCCCAACTAGAACAACATGGTCCTTCGTTGTGTTATTATTCGTACGACAAAAATGATAGTCAAACGTTATGTCTTGATCTTGTTTAGTCCCTATTCAATTTCACTAAAAAGTAGATTAAATTTCTATTCAAAATCAATACTAATTTTAACTATACATTTCATTGGATCCATATCTTATTTAAATTCAAAAAAATTTCTCTACATTTTAACTACATATTTTTTAAAAAAAATCACTATTATGTTATCCCAAAAAATGACTCAAAACAAATCCCTAACTTTATGTAATTAAACGCGATAAACGTACCAGCTAACCTTGATGACTTGTCATGTTCCAATTGATGATTGTGACATAGAGTCCCGTGCTCCCATTATATGTTTTACTTTCAAAAGTTATTATAAAACTAAAGAGGGCACCATAAAGTAAGTACTCAAATCTAAGTCCAATAAAACTTAGCCAACAAGACATTTTCACCAAACTTACACTTGATGATTTGTCTATCAAAAAGAAAGGAGAGACAACTCATACATACCAACCTACCTCTTTTAATCTTTACCTATTTAAGATAATAATGTAAAAAAGGGTTTGAATGAAGAATTATTGTCATTATTTTTTCAAGGAAAAAAAGAGAGAAAAAAAAAAACAACTCAATTGGTTCTTTAGTTCAACATGTGGATTTTGATGGGCAATCCAAGGGCGCTCAAAAGGAGATTTACCTTATGATGAGTTTGAAACAATCACACACTTTATCGTTGCTTGTTGATACAAGTATCGTACAAGTTTATAAAATCACTTTAATGCAAATTGACAATTCACTTGAGTTGTATAGTTAGATTTTTAAATCTTTAGAATAAGAATCGGGATGGCTTGTTTTTATTTTTTTTGTGTTGATTTGTCGGATTGAGAACTTCGTTCTTATTCTATACATTAAGATTGAGATACTACTAAAATTTAAAATGGATCATTCTAAGCACTCTAACTTCTTATTCGGTATAATGAAATCAAAATTCGTTAAAAGTAAAAACTTCCTTATCTTCATCAAGTTGTTTCAAGACAAAGAAACATGATTTTTCCTTCTCTCGTGTTAGCTACACACAAAAACACTAAACTTCAAAAATACAATTCAAGTTCGAACTTCAACCAAAAAATTGAACTTAATTGGCCAAAAAGAAATAAACTCCCATTTCAATAAAGGTTATATTGATGAATAATGCTATGCATACACATTGTGGTGTACACAATGCATTACACCCCCTTCACATGGAGATGGACCTACAAATATTTTATTGCAATCATGCTATATGAACATAATGGTTGACATAATCATTGACATAATGTCACATGATAACCTATCATTGGACTGTTTAAAATACAGTCGGCTTTTTCAACCAATCACATCTCGCCAACACCTATTTTGTCAATCATTATGTCACATTTTTCGGGCAAAGTAGTATTATTCATTTTATTGTGTGTGGACCCCCCTCCATGTGAGGTGGGTGTAATGCATTGTGTACACCATTGTGTACACATAGCACAACCCTATATTGATAGATTTATTCATTTTGACCTTAGTCAATTTAGATAAATTGGGATTTCTTTTGCAAAATAAAACCATCTCAAATCGAATCGAGGAATCCTGATTAAATAAAGCTGGACAAAATTTTGATCACCTCATATTCTAACTCTGCAACTTCTTTTTCGACCGCGCATACGAGTATAACCAGAAATAAAGTAGGAATATATCATATATCCACACTCTGATTCCAATTCCAAAATAATTAATGTTCTGATTCCATGCAAACATGCCCATATAAATACATTTAAATCTGCCTAATTTAGCTTCCCCATCTAATTATCCAAATAAAGCAAGAACAAATTTAGGGTTGTTATGTGCCCTCGAGAGTCCCGCCATTGCCAAGCAACGAAACTGGAAACGTGGTCTTCTTCGACTTCAAGTCTGACTCATGGAAAGTCCGTGAGCCCCTTTGGTATTAATTTTAAAGCACAATCTTGAACCAATTTTTCTTCATTTAAGAATTGATTTGAGTTAGATAATAATATACACGTGTCATATGTAGGAGTATTCCAGTCAATAAAATCTTTTCCAAACACTTCTCTTTCTTGCTAGCTCGCGTCCCAAAGAAAAAAATAAAAATCTTGGATCCCTCTTCAGTTCCTGGATTCTTTTGAGTGATTCATCAATTTGGTAAGCATATTTTAGCTGTTTCTTTTTGAATTTCCTGTCGATTTTATTTCTTTGATGAGTTGCATCAGCTCCATGTAATTATTTTGAAGAGGGATTTTAATTGTTGGGTGAATTTATTGGAGAAAAGACGTAATTTTGTTTAATATTTTAGAAAACTCACATTTCAAGAGGCTGATAAGGATTCCCTCAGATCCATGAAACCAAGGTAACATGTGGCAAAAAGTCTCAATCTTTAACGGTTTTCTTGTGAACCTTGAGGGGGTTTGGTTTCCTTTTTCCTAGGATTTTTCCATGAACCCCTTGTTGAATTTACGGATAAGGGATTATTTTGTCTTTTTCTTCATGTTCTTGGGTATATAAGGTTTGGTGGTGGCGGCGGCAATTTGGTGTTCTTGGATGTAATTCTCCTCGAGGAAGAATTTGGAAACTTCAGATACTTGGAGATACTTCTACTCTGTTCAGCCTCAAATTCATGTGTATGGAAGGTTAGTTCCTATATTCCTCCCAGCAGATCTGATATCTTTTTTTTTTTTTTTTGTGCTATCCGTAGCTTACCTAGTTTTCGTTTGTTCCTTGGAGAAGTCTTGGAGTTAATCTTGTGGCGTATTCGACTATAACTTTTCGCTAATCAACTGCACACTTGGGCGAGTATCATTGTTTGTTAATTTGGTGCGTTGTGGTGCTTTTGTAATAGTTCGAGGTGATGACTAAATAAGCTTGTCCAAAGTTTGTAGGGGGTAAGGGACTAATAGTTAAAGAACTGATTGATCGGTTGTTTGGAGAGACTTGTTGGCAAGTTTGTGTTAGTTATTACTGGTTTTAGAAAGGGGGATGATGGAAGAGATGTCCCCAGCAGTTGCAGTTACTCTTAGCTTTGGTAGTTCAATGTGTGAAAATTCAGGAATTGCAAATCATGTAGAAATCACACGACTCAAACTAGTGACAGACACGGCAAGCTTGCTGTCAGATCCAGCACCAGTGCCAAATGATAATTCTAATTCTAGTTCGAATAATGGGGTTCCCTTATCAATGCCTGGAAGGAGTGATGTGGAACCTGATATGTCACAGATGATACAGAAGGCTGAAAATGATCGGCTTATTCACAATACCGTGATTCAAGAAACTGAAGAAGATGAAATCCTATCAGCAGGGGATGACCCTAGCATAATTAATAGCTTGGAGTTGCTGCCCCTGGATCCCACTTCAAACATAAGCTTGCCTATGAATTCTACTTTAGAGAGAAGTTTGCCCATTGCTGTCGAAATTCAGGGCATTGAGAATGGTCAAATAGTTGCAAAGGTCATCAGTGTGGAGGAGAGATGTATACAAAAGGAATTTGCTGATGGTATCCTAAGAATACCTACTGAACGAACTGAAGAATGTTCTAATGGACCTACAATAAAGGCGTCTGTAGTTTCTGTTCAGTTGCCCGGTGATAAGGATCCATGCAAAGGAGGTGTTAAGAGTGTCTTTGAGTTGGAGTGTGTGCCATTATGGGGTTCAGTTTCTATTTGTGGAGATAGGCCAGAGATGGAAGATACTGTCATGGCTGTACCTCATTTTATGAAAATTCCCATTAAGATGCTTATTGGGGATCGTGTAATAGATGGGATAAGTCAGACTTTAAGTCACTTGACCTCTCATTTTTTCGGGGTGTATGATGGTCATGGTGGATCTCAGGTATGTATGTTTTTCAATGTTGATGATTTGTTTCTTTTAAGAGACAAATTTGACTTAGTTTTTCATTTAGGGAAAACATTTTGACATTCTGCACATTGCTATGGGCACTAAAACTAGACTAGACAAGTGTGTGTGTGCACAATCGTATATTTTTTCATAACATTGTTTCTTACAAATTTTGTTTTCCTTTTCTTCACCAATTTTCACCTTTTGGAGATACTTTTTTCCGATTGAAACGACCCTACATCTCGTGAGACAACTTTAAGGCACAACTTCCTTCTGTATGAAGTTTGTTTTCCTTGAACTTTTTCAGTTTTTCATCAGTTTTCACTTTTTTGAGATACTTCGTCTGATTGAAAAACCTTTGGTTGGACTGTCCAAAGGTTTTAACCCTCCTTATTTTGGTGCAACTTCCTTGACATTATTCAGTAACTCTTTATCATTTCTACACGTTCAAAACCACAGCTAATATTCATCTTTGAGTCAATTGCTAACTGACTGGAACTTCATTGTGTAGGTTGCAAATTATTGTCGTGACCGTATCCATTTAGCTTTAGTAGAAGAGCTAAGAAATTACAAGGATGATTTGGTGAATGGAAGTACTATCGACTCACGACAGGTGCACTGGGAGAAGGTCTTTACCAATTGCTTTTGCAAGGTTGATGATGAAATTGGGGGAAAAGCAAGCAGAAACATCCCTAATGAAAGCATGGATGAGTGCATCACAACCTTTGAAGCTGTTGCCCCGGAAACTGTTGGGTCAACTGCTGTAGTTGCAGTGGTTTGTTCATCTCATATTGTAGTTGCCAACTGTGGGGACTCGAGAGCAGTTCTTTACCGTGGTAAAGAAGCAATTGCATTATCAAGTGATCATAAAGTAAGCTTGTTTTTATCATCTATTGCTATCAGCACCCATCCTTGTAAACGTATTCATTATTTTCCTTTTGATTAACTTGCCAGCCAAACCGAGAAGATGAATATGCTAGAATTGAAGCATCTGGAGGCAAAGTCATACAGTGGAATGGACACCGTGTTTTTGGTGTTCTTGCAATGTCGAGGTCCATTGGTAAGTCATTTAATGTTACCGGCAATAAATTGTCCGATTATAGCGTTTGCACATGTCCATATAAATGGATGTGCATGTTAAACATATTTATCGAAAGTTGTGCTATTTTGAAACTGGAATTGATGTGTACAAATCTTTTTCTACTATTCATTTTGCTGTCATTGGTTGATACCAAAAAATAAAGTATTTGTCATAGGATTTTTGATTCGGCTGGAGAATATCTATTTATGCTCTACTTCTTGTTGTTGACCTGGCAGACTGCGGTGCAATTCCATAGCATTATTAATAGCATCATTCTTTTACTTATTAACTTCGTTTATTCCAAGTCGAGTTGCTAATTGCTCACTTGGTATCTTTTTTCTTCATTTTTCACTTTTTTTCACATGCAGGCACTTGTAAGTTCCTTTTGGTTCTAATTCACCAGACTCGTGGTTAATCTATTATTCTGTTCTACATATTTGTTTTCCGGGACATGTTGGCACATTTTTATACCTTAACCTTTCTGATCAACTACATGGAAAGAAAAAATCATATATATTGAGAATAAGTTGAAAATGTTCAGCCAATCTTAGCTTCAATTGTTTCTTTTTTACAGTGTACTACTTCTAAGTTTTAACCTACCAAGTTTCTTAGTTTTCTGTTATTTAATGTCTATTTGCATTATTGTGGACATACGACGATTGAGGGAGGAAATGGTGTTCGACATTTTAAGCTCTCTGTGTTCCTTTATTTTCTCTCAGGTGACAGATTCTTGAAGCCATGGATTATACCAGAACCAGAAGTCATGTTTGTGCCCCGGGCTCGAGAAGATGAGTGCCTTGTTTTGGCAACTGACGGGTTGTGGGACGTCATGACAAACGAGGAAGTATGCGAACTAGCTAGAAAACGGATTTTGTTTTGGCACAAAAAGAACGGGACTAACCCATTGGTGGATAGAGGCCAAGGAATTGATCCTGCAGCGCAAGCAGCAGCCGAGTACCTCTCGTCACTCGCACTTCAAAAAGGGAGCAATGATAATATATCTGTGATTGTAGTGGACTTGAAAGCCCAAAGGAAGTTCAAGTGCAGATCATGATTGACAACCACTTGGTGCTTATATAGTTGTTATATACATCATATGCATCTCATTAGTACATGAAAAGTCCATTAATTTTTCACATGGGCTTCAAGTGTGTGTGATAACAGTATTTTAGCATGTAATATAGAAGCGGTTAAGTAAATAACCCATGTCCAAATTTTGGTTCATGTAAATTCAATATATATATATATATATGTATTGCATAAACAGTAGAATTGTAAGCTTGAGATCCTATGTTTGTATGGAATTGTGTATGTTTGAGCTGTTTTGGTTTTGTGCCGACGGGCAAAAGATCCCGGAGTTCTTGCCGGATGCTTAGAATAAAATGTTAAACATGAAATCAAGAATGAGGTCGATCTTGTTTCAAAGGGCATTTGTGTCGATCGATTTAGTTGTCAGTTCAATGGGAACTTAATGAGTCTATCCACATACCCTCGTATTTACTGCGATTCTGAGATCTATTTTCCATACTGCTTCACGGAATTATACAGCAAAACCAGTCCCCAAAGAAGGGAGATGGTCTTGAACAACAAATCTAGGAGATTAGTTGGACTAGATGAAGCCTAAAAATCAAATAATGGGAGTGTCCACTTTTAAATGCTGCCTTTACTTACAAGGCAAGCGTAAATTTATTCGCTTGCAAGTTGCAACGCTAACTTGTCGCTAGACTGTATTTGGCTTACCTTGTGACAAAGAAATCAACATTCCAATTAACTTTTGTGTTGATTCGGCTATCTGTATTGATAAGTGCATCATTTATTTTAGGTTTCTTTACTTAATTATTTATGATACATTGAGCAGATGTCTACTTAATTTTGGGTAAAATATGTTAATTGTAGGTACAATCCAATTTGGATGCACTTGGAATTGGTAAAATTGAAACGTAATTAGAGTTGATTCGAAGTACTTGAAGATCAACTGGGTTGCAATTGATCGATTGGAAGTATTAATTGTGCAGTAGGAGGAGAATCACAAGTTTTGGGAGTTAAATCCGATGTTTGAAAAGTTTGAGGATTAAATTACCAAATTTTAAAACTTTCATCTGATCAATTATTAATGATTTTGGGATTGAGGACTTCATTGTAAAGATAAAAATATGAAGGGCTAAAATTGCAAAAAAAAAAAGATTCAAGCTGACTTAAGAGGAGAAGTCAAGGACCGAAATGCAAAAAGGAGAAATATTGGGGCTTATGATTGCAAGTCGTGATGACTGCAATTGCAATCGCCTAAACTATTAAGCCCAAATGGTGCAATCGCACCGTACATTTTTTGACGGACGGAAATTCGCTCTTTCTATTAGTCTTCTATTTGTAAACCACTTAGGACACGAATTCTAATCTAAATCTTGGCTATATAAATACTAGTCTTCGTGCAACAATTAATGGAACAGTATTATATGCACACATGATAAGACCATTCATTTAAATAATGACATACCAAATCTTTAAACGTTCAAAATGCAATACCTCGACATCTGTGACAAGAAAGAAAACAAAGTAGATATGTGATGTCGAGGTGTTGCATTTGAGTAGCTCGAGATTTTCATGTGTCATAATTTGAGCAGATATTTGTGTCATATGTGCATATAAGATCGTCATATTGAAACATCTTTCATTTTAAGTAAATCAGGTATGACCTCCGGAGAAAATAAGAAAACGTAATACTTTTATGCTCAAAAAGTAGGAAGGCCGAGAGTATAAAAAGTAAAAAAGATAAATTAAAAGTTACATCTCATGCGATTCATTTAAGTTCGAGATTTTATGCATCTTGTGATATACTTGTAAAAGTTTTTGTCTGAATCATGTTCATTGGTTGAAGGGGCTCGTCTAAACTAATTACTCCTAAAAAAAATTCTGAACTCATCGAACTCCTCATTAACATACTCAAATGCCTCAACTACATAATCACTAGCTCGGAAATAGAAACGTTGTGTTTGAACAACTCAAAGATACGCTTATCACTTTGAATTATTCCTAATTTTGTCCTTCGACCCTTGTTCTTCCTGATTGATTGACTAAGATGTAGCTATCTCGATCATTGAATTTTTAAAACCACCTAAAATACTTGTCACCAGGTTCTCAGTTGCATTTCAAAAATTTGGTCCGGCTTTGACCCTTGACTCTCAGCTGCCAAACAGTTGCATTTCAAAAATTTGGTCCGACCTTGACCCTTAACTCTTAAATTGGTTGATGATTCCTTGTTTATTAGAGACTCTTTCTCAGCTGCCAAACAAACCTTTTTCCCCGAAGTGGAGGAACAATACCTGAATTTTCAGCAATCTGCACATCCGTTCCTGAGATTTCTGGATTGTACAAGTTGGTCCCTATAGATTCTGTGTATAGGAAATGGTCCCTGAATTTTCTGAGTTGTGATCAACGGCCACGAATTTTCACATTGTTGCGATCCAATCCCTCCCTCTTTTGAAATCTGCATTTTGCCTCCTGAATTTTCTGAATTGTGCATGCAACCCATTCCTGGAGGACCATTTAAAAGTAACATGAGTTAGGTAATTAGATAGTGCCATTAAAATACATATGGCCCACAAGAGTATTGTTAGATTTAAAAATTTACAAGCCCTTGTTTGATTCCCCATTATTTTTAAAATACATTTTTCTTTATATTCTTTCCAACTACACATTCTTCAATGAGATAGTATTACACGCAAACGAAAAGCTTTTCCTTATTTTTTAAAAACACATTCTCCATCAATCTACTAGTTCAAAATGCATTCTTAACCAAAAAAAAAAATGGGGTTCAAACAATCTTGATATTAAAAACCCTTTAGTTTATTGTCAAGATCCTCCATGTCAAATCACCAAGAAAATAAAAAGTGCGGAACATACATTAATCCATTGGAATGAAGAACGAAAATTAATTGCTTGTTTTTTTTATTTCAAATTCTTGATTTTCATCTTCAATACGCTTTCTTTTATATTCTTGTGTTGATGTGATGACACATAGAATGAGAATCTCATAGAATTGATGACCATAACCTTATAAGAAGTTTCTGCGTGTATTTCGGCCCATCATGAAATATAACCCAAAGAAATCTGGTCTCTACACATATTTCGGTACATAACATATTAGATGCCCAGAGTACTATAACTTTAATCTTTATTAAATCACTTTAAACAAGTTTAACTTTAAGATAACATTTAATACAAAATCAATTACATATTAGACTCACATGACAAATTAAAACTCAACGAGTATATCCCAATGAGGTCACATCAAATGTTGGCCTGCAAAGTCCGATGTATACTACCTCTACTAATAGCCCGTGATATTGCATCTATTTCGACGGCCGAATGACTTATGCTCGTTACATACCTTAATGTACTACTGTACGAATAACATTTGTTGCCACAGTTTGATCAATCTAATTAAGACCCACAAACTTAACATTGATCTGCATGGGATTATAGGTGTTAGTGAAATTACAGTTATAAATAAAAATTTACATTTAATTTAAGAAACAAACTTGTGATCAATTAGGTTGAGGCGCTGGTATCTTTCTCTCGTTACATGATTCAAGCAGGGTCGGCCCTGAGATTTTGGGTGCCCTGTGCGAGATTTTAAAATGGTGCCCATTTCAAGTAATAAAAAAATCAGTGTTTTAAAAATTGGTCCGGCCCTGCCGGTCGAACCGGTAAAAACAGGAGCCGTTCTTAAAAAAGGGTCGGTTGTAGGTTAATAACCGGATATTAGAAACCCGTTAAAAAACCACTAAATTGGCCGGTACTAACCCGTAAACCGATTACGATTTTTTTTCGGGTTTCCAAAACCTTTTTAATTTAGATATAAAGTTTATAATTTAACTATTGGGCTCAACCATGAAAATGAAAGCCCCATGCCAAGTTTTGATAGACAGGCGCCATCTACTTTAATAGATGAGAACAATACATTTCTAAGGTATTTACTTTACCCATTTTCAAAAATACCAAAACAAGTTCCAAAATTCACAAATCAAGTTTTTTAATTTTTAATTTATGAATTAATAAATTATTAAATCAATTTATTATTAAATATTTAATTCTAATATAATATATTTATCCCACCCTACCTCCACCACCCCTATCGTTCCGGGGACTATTCCGACTATCGTTCCGATCACGACTCATCTCCGACGACTGCTCCTATTCCGGCAACGATTCTGATGACCGTTCCGCCGCTCTGGCGACTGCTCCGATTCCGGCAAGTGTTCAAACTCCGACGAAAATTTTTAGGTCATAAATCAAAATTTTCATAGGTCACAATTTGTTTATCGGTCATAACTTAAAAATTTAAAAAGTCACAACTTTTTCATCGGTCACAGGTCACAAAATTTATAAGTCACAATACTTATTTCACGGTCACAAACATCACATTAATTATATTTAGGTCACAATTTATTAAATTTTGGGTCACAAGTTAATAATTTTAAGGTCACAAAGCATTTATTGGTCACAGTTTATCTAATTTATTGGTCACATTTTGTTTACTGGTCACAAACAACCAAATCATTTATGACCACACCAAAATCAGTTGTGACCACTACTTCGCCACTGCCTCGGCCAATAGCACCACCACCGTCGCCGCCCAACGTCAACATCTCACAACCAACACCACACCCTCCCCAACACCACTATCACCATCCCCAAAACCACGTCGCCACACACACCGCTAAACAGCACAGAACACATAGCCACCGCTGCCAACAACTTCAGATCCACACTTCCGGCGCACTATCCACCACAACGCCACGACACTGCACCGTTTACGACCACCACCGCCACACAACCATTAAAAACATTGTAAAAAATAAATTAAGAAAAAATTTATTTTAATAACATTATTTCATTGCAAAAATATGATATTTAAATATTTGTTTATTTTTTACATATTATGAGAAAAGTATAAATAAAGCTCAAAAGCATCTCACGAACTTCATCAAAATTCATGTCATCAACAAATAACCATCCAAACCACTATCCCCTTCGTTCAATTCCAAATAAATA